TTCAATCCCTTCATTTTTATTTTTAAAATTTTTAAAATTTGAATATGCACGTCACATATTAACTAATGTTTTAACAAAAAACTTAACGTATATGAAATTGTCTAAGAATTATCACTTTAGGTACCAAACTGGGAAAACTTGATGTATGAAATATTGAAAACCAATAACTTTTGGGTAGTAAACTGAGTTTTACACCTTTAAATTTTTTAATATCCATGCGCCGCCATATTGATACGTGACGCCAAGTCATTGTCTACGTGGGTGCCATGTCACTAGTTAACAGAGATTCTAACGAAAAATTTAACAGGTGTATGAAAGTGTCCCAAAATTATGACTTTATGTACCACTCTGGGATGAAAAAAACTTCATACCAAACATTGAAAACTAAGAAACTTCAGAATAGTAAACTGAGATTCACCCTAATTTTTAATTGACATTTGATATAGAAGTAGACTTTTTCATATATTTAGCGAATTCTTTTTATCACTAATTTTCTCGTTGTCTAATATGTAATAATCGTAACTAACTAATAACATCCATAACCTCTTCGGGACTGAAAATGGTAGATAGCCGTAGTTTGCTACGTGTTGTCCCCTTTTTTTAAAGAAAAGAAAACTAGCTAACAACATCTAAAATATCTATGAATTAGGTCCTCGTGTCCGTGATGGTTTAGGGTTGAGATCCTTGGTTCCATGATGAGGTTGCAGTGAGATATCCAAACGGAGTTTATACGGTTATTCATGATTCAGATTTTCATACAAGTGCAATTGCTCGTGACAAATCTGATGACGACTGCAAGATGTGAAGTTTAAGTAGAAAAACTAGATTGGTTTTTAAATAGGGAATATGTGATTTGTTATTTGTGAAATTTGTATTAAATTTTGACTCCATTGAGAATTTGAGATAAGATGAGATGATTATTCCCTACACAAAGCATTTATTTATAATGGAAAATAGAGAGAGCATTAACTTGTCCTCCAAGTAAATACAATCATAAAGAGAAAAAATAACTATTATTCAAAATTATCTAAGATTTACACAATCACAATTCAAAATTATCTACAACAGTGCCTTCAAGGAAAACGCTATGGGCTATTTGAAAACGATCTTTTCATTTATCAAGTAAGATAAATTTTGTAAGTTTTTAATATTGAAAAAAAAATATTCAAGTCGGAACATGAAAAAAAAAAATTTCTTAAACATCTTTGGAATGTTTTATATGAATCTTAAGAAGCTTTATTAGAATACATCGTTAATAGTAACTAGCCTAGTGTATGTGAAGACCAAATATACAAAGTGATTAATTTAATTTGAGTGCCACTGAAATTTTTTTACCACATCTTATAAATCTACTTAGGTTTTATTCTTTTATATTTATACCCATTTATCTGTGCTATATGATATCAATATGGCCTAATTATCTCCTCGTAAATTTCGAAGTAGTTATAGAATTTAAACTAAAAAATTTATAATATTTTCCGAATAACATCCCGGCCCCGCCCGCTTGGCCCATGAAACAAAGTTTACCATCTTTAAAATCCGAGGCCACACCGTTTCCCTTTTCAGTTTAGGGTTCGTGTTCAAGATCCGGGCAAAACTCCAAAGCCGAAGCCTCGCTGTTTCTCTCTCTGCGGTATGAAAATTCGAAATTCAACCTCTTATTTTGTTTGTTTTAATTTTTCTGAGTTTTATTTTGCTAAATTTTTGCTTTCTGCATGGTTTTTCTGTTTGTTTTGGATCTCAATATTTGATTGCTCAAATGTTGGATAGGAATTTAACATGTAATTCACAAATAGACAGAGGCAGGGGATTTAAACATATATGCCTGTGCATTTCTGTGCTTGAATAGAGATGCAGCTAGGTTACATTACATATTCCCAGAACCCTAATTTGGATTTTTTTTACTGTTTGTGTTTATGCTTAATCATGTTTTATAACAAGTTTATTATTGGGTCTTATCTCGTAGAAACTAAAATTTAATCTGTAAACTTTTAGTTGGGACGGCTTGTGGACTTCTCGAACCAGAATTATGGCTCGTTTTAGTTCTTCTAGTTCCCGTTCGAGTTGGAGTTCGAGTTCGAGTTCGAGTTCGAGGAGTTCACGTTACTATGGTGAGTAATTATGCTGGGAATTCGATTGTTTAAATAATATGTCAATCTGTTGAGATGATTTCTTTAATGTAATATGAAACAATCTTTCAGTCTTTTTTTTATATCATTTATGCTTTTTAATTTGCAGGAGCCAAGGGCACATACAACGCTTCATCTGGCAAAAGGAGTAAGCATAAACAGCGCCCCTCGTAATTTAGTTTTGTACGCTGCTTGTGCTTGTTGTTAGGGCTTCAATGCCTAGAATAATTATGCCATTAATTTTCTCGCTATCTAATACGTAATTATTGTAACTAGCTAATGATATCTATAATATATCTATGAGTTAGGTCCTAGTGCCTGCGACAAGGTTGCGGTGAGATATCCAAACGGCGTTAGAACGGTTATTCATCATTCAAATTTTAGAGCAAATGCAATTGCTCGTAACAATTCTACTGAGCTCTGCACGAGGATAGTTGAGCTGGCTGTTGAGGTACTTTTAGTTGCTATCTTGTTATGCTTCTGGGTTGGTCTTGTCAATCCTTGGAATGGAAAACAAATGCTAGATCATCTACCTCTACATAAATTTTGACGAGTCTTGAATATATAAGAGTAGGCATAGTATGAATGATTTTATGTGGCCTGACATAATGAAGTGTGGATTGTGTTGTGAATGAAAATACGTCTCTCTCTTTTTAATGGTAGGCGGGTCTATTTGGCGGGCCTAATGCGGAGTTTAGCGTTTACCAACGTGCCCTATTGAACGTTTGTGGTATTGAGGTGGAGGTTGTTTCGTCGAAGAATGATTCGTCCAAGAATGATTAGAGGTGGGCTTAAGATTGAATAAAGATGAAGAATAAATATGTATGGTTTTGGACCTTGGTGCTCACTAACTTTGTTTATCAAAGTGGTAAATCCACATGCAAAAGATTTACTAGAGGACCAATTTGCTTTGGTATTAATCTAATGTTGGGAGCTATCTTTGAACTTTACTCATATGATCTGATATCATATTTATTCCTCATTGTCTCCTATAATTTTTTGAAACAAGTAAAATTACACAATAACGAGCATGGTAGCCGCCTCTGCCCTACTCTTTCCCTGCCTTTATGAACCAAGAAATGCGACACATGCTATTCGACTGTGCACTTGCAATCCCATTAAAATACACAACTTCAGGAACAAAACACACAATGACCTGAAAATTAAACAACAGACAACAATTCCGAAGAACAAGAAAGGGCGGAAAGCCCAACCCAAACACTAGAAAATGGAAGCTGGAAAATTCCCCTATGACGATTCGAATGTTACAGAGGCTATTCATCCGACGACGCATTATAGTCACGTACACACCTGTTCATTTTAAACATAGAAATGCATTGATCCCTGGGCTCCGGTTGTGTTGGTCCAAAGAGGATTTGTGTTCCAAAAATACAAGCTTTAGTCATTTAACTTTAATCCAAACCGTCCATTTACATGGGCTTTAGCTCCATTAACTAGAGAAAGCGATAAAATTGAGAGTAAAGAAATGGGGGGGGGGGGGGCAATGGCCCATATCCAGTACAAGATCAATGATCCCAAAAAAGAACTTACTTGGGCCGCGGAGCTGGGTGAGAAACACCCGCTCCCACGTGGACAAGTCGTAGGCCGCCAGTGCACTATAGCGGTTGCCTTTGACGACGTCAGCAATGGCGATGAGGAGGCAATTCCTGGGGCTAATGATGGCGAGTCCCGGCGAAGAATTTCCGGGCAAGTCAACGTGTTTGACCACAGGGACTTCCACTAGAACCGCATCGGTATCGTCGTTGGGCACCAACAATTGCCCAATGCCACCGTCTATGAAGGAGACGAGGAAACGACGGTTGAGATCGTCCCACTTGGCGTATCCAGTAGGTTCAGCCAGCCAGCTGGATTTTTCTCAAATTGCTATTTGTTCAATGCTTTTCTTCTGATGAGCGCGGTAGATATTTGTCATGGCGGTTTCTAACATTTCATGTGTACATAATTTGGTTGGAGTTTTATTACTTTTGGAATTAAAGAAAGCCGTGAAGATGCATCTACACATGCAAAACAAACACAAATTACAAATTAAGAGTGAAAAAAGATACAATTGATGACAAACATATTACCGATTCTTACCTTTGAATTATTATCTATTCTAACGTTAGAGGGGAATTGGTACTGTTCATGGCTATTTACAACAAAACCATCAGATCTGGGCTGGGTTAGGAAGGTAATTCTAAAAAGTTAGGGGGTAATTGTGTCCGTAGGATTGAGCCGAATTTCACTTTATTTACAAAATTGCCACCGCTTTTTCTTTCCCTCTTTCTCTCTCTCTCCTCTCTCGATAACCATCCATCAAATCCCCCTTTCTTCCCTTTTCTCACTCTGTAACCCTAGCACCGTTTCTCTCTCATTTCTCTCAAATTCGAGACTTCTCTCTCCATTTCTCTCAACCTAGCCCCAGCGCTGCTCACCCCATTGCTCTTCATCATCTCAGTTAAATCCGTCGAGCAATCACCGATGCACCTCCACACAAACCCATAACGAATTTTCCTCCCTCTCCTAAAGACCTCTTCTTTGATTTCCCCAGTTAAACACTGCGATTCGCCACTGAGCTCCGAGTTCAGGCCTTTATCCCTCTGCGGGCTGCCACTGACTCTCTGCCGTTGATCACGATGCCCGCGTGTTGATGATCGTGGAAAGGCAGGGTGCGATCGTCACTTTACCATTCTCTTCCTCCCCCACTCTCTCTCCCTCAGATTCTGTCCGCTCAACATTCTCGATCTCAAATGAAAAATCTTCCATATTAAGAACCCATAGAATCAGCATTCATAGAATAATCATGGATTTTTGTTAGGCTAATTTGATTGTTTCCTCCTCCCCTCCATGGACCTTTTTCTTCATACCTCCATGTGTACATTACCATTTCATCTAAATTAGGATCAGGGTTCTGAAATTAATTTCCCCCCAATTTTCCCTCTCTCTTTGCAATGGAAGAACATCCATCGTCTTCCTCATCTTCTTCTTCTGCTGCTGCTTCGACCAGTAGGAATACTTCAGGCGGTGCTGCTGTTGCTGCCACTGCCGCTATGACGTTTGAGAGCTTCGCAGGTTTGGGAGGAGGACGATGACAATCAGTGCTACCAACACACCCATTTCTGGCATCCGGAGCTGGAGCAAAACCATGAAATCGGCACTTCGTACGGTGGTAATATGTCGGCGTTCGATGAGTGTCGAAGGTGATTACAAATGACACGTGGCGTGGTCCTGCATCATCGTCATCCTCACCTTCTGGTTCTTCGGTTTGTATCCAATTTTGATGGTAATTCATTATTTGATTATCCATAATTTGATGGTAGTTGGATGTTCTGCAACATAACCCTTTTTTTTTTTTTTTGCTCTCTATAAAAGTTGTTTTCGTTCTAATTTTACCATTTTCTATTTTTTACTTATAGGCCTACTACTTTTGCGGTGAGGAATTCGAAGAATATGTGCTTCTGAGCAATTCCTAGGCACTAATCACTCACCATTTCCTTTTCCACTTACTGGGATGTTCTTAGTTTGAACTATTTTCTTCAGTGGGGTTTAGGGGTTTCACGCGCCGCCCGGGGGGGGGGGGGAAGAGTTACAGAGGGAGGGGATGCACACGTGAATTGCAGAGGGAGAGGGAGAGAGGGAGAAAGAGGGGGAGTAGGGTTGCTGATTTGCTATATTCAAGTTCTGTATTTTTTTTATTTTATTTGAATTTGATTTGATTTGATTTTTTTTTTTTTTTTGTGTGACAGGTTGAGAATGTGAAAGCTTTGCTGGAGTTGGAGGTGAGAAGTTTAATTTAATTCATGATTTATTGTTGTTGTTGTTTTTTTTTTTTAACTTTATTTTTGTGGGATTGTGCTGTTTTGGGGAAACAATATTAAACTGAAGTAAAGTCTAGATATTTCTGTAATTGGGATTTAGAGTAAGAGATGAAGAACTGAAAGTGATTGCAAAATTAAAAGCTTAGAACTTTTTTGATTTGGAAGCTAATTTTAAATTCAGTTAGCTGATTAATTAATAGAGAAGCGTATAATGAATGCGTGATATGTTTTTCACTGCATATGAACAGACATGAGTACTGCTTCCGCGGCAGCAGCTGCTATATAATGGTAGGGAGCTGAAGAATTCTGAGATGTTGAGTGCTCTTAGTGTCTGAGATGCTGGGTCTGCATTCTATGTAACTTTTCTTGCAGTTACATATTGATGAAATAGAATTGAATTTTTGTCATTCCCTTCTTTTTTTGAATGCATTTACATTTATATGATGATTTGCAGCATATATTCATCTTTTGGTTTCTAATTCTTCATGCAGTCTAAGCCATGAAGGATTTGATAAACCCACAATTGATAACAATGTGCGGCGGCACCGACGGTTTTGGACAAGGGTTGTCCGAGATAGGATTTAGGAGATTTGGTTTAGGGTTTGCAGAGAGACAGATAGGGGGTGTCCAAGAGAAATGTGGGAGAGAGGGGGATCATCGGGATTTCAGGGAGAGAAACACAGAGAGATGGGTGATGGTGAACAGGCGCAAGTATGGTCCCTTAGTCCGGGATTCACTCTTCATCGTCCATACTCTGTTGCATGCTCAGATAAGTGTCTTTGAAAAAATTTCCAAATCTTTTTGTACTGTTTTGTTAGGTTAGACAGCATGGTTTTTGGTTTTTTTTTTTTTTTTTTTTTTTTTAAATCGATTGGGGGATTTTTTGGCCGTCTATTTATTTGTTTGCCCTTTGGTTTGTTTTTCATTCTTGGTTCCCCTCTTTCATTAGAGAGTACAAAAATTCCAAAGGTAAACATCCAATCCCTTGCTTCGCTTTTCTGTCCATAGCCAAGAATTGGTGAAATAAGTGTGGTTCTTGGATCTGCGGTCTGAAACAAGAAAATATGTCTATTCTCTGTGCCAGCTAATGTATCTGTGATTTCTTTGCAGGACACTACTGCAACACAAGTCCGTTTGGAAGATGGAGAGCACACGACTTAAGGATCTCGGACCCAAGGTAAAATGTAATAATCTCTGGCTCCCTTGACTAATGTACACTTACATGCACTAGATCTGTGAATTTTAATTATGCATTTGCACTCTCTGTGCCAAAAGTTTTTAGATCCGAAGCGGTCAGGATAAGAACGATTTGGAGCAAGTGACTCAAAAAGTTAAACTTCGATATCGAAATTAATGGAAACCCATTGGTATGATTTATTCATCTGAAATTTTTGATTGGCCAATTGGTTGTTTCATCAATTAATTGTGTGCAAACATTTATGTGTAATTTTTTTACTTCTTCCAATTAAATGGTAAGATCAAATTAAGCTAAGAACTTTGGATTTTGTAAATGCTGTGTAATTAAATTATTCATATTATCAATTAATTTTGATCAAACATTTCTGGGTAGTTGTTAATTTCCCTCAATATATGATAATAATTAAATTAAAGCTGAGAACTTTGTATTTTGTTCATTACCTGCTCTAGATTTTACTTGACAGAGAAAATGTAGTTTCCTTGATATTATTCATGTTTTGTTTTCTTTCAGATCCCGTTGTAATGGGTCTCTTTGAAAAAACAATTCTTAAGACCAATTGTGAGGTTTGTTCTTATATAGTACATGAGTGTTTTTATAATTCTTTTGCACGGTTGTTAGTATTTGTTGTTATGATTGGTGTTGTCCTACATGTTTGGCCTGAAGAAAATGAGACAGTACTTTTGACATATTGAGAGTGAAGGAATCTCCTTTGGACCTGGTCATGTTGGAGTATATTTCTACTAACTTGGTACACTATGGAAATTCATGGACTCTTTTACTTGCCCCTTTTTATATATATTTGTTAATTATATGACAAGGTTTTCAATCCGCTGCATCGTGCGGCATGAATCCTAGTCTATTTTAAAGTCGGAGGGGAATTGGCCTGTTTATGGCTACAGTCAAACAAATGCCCCTCGATTTCACCTTATTTGCAACAATACCAACCAAATTAGGCCGGGTTGGGAGGGTAATTCTCAAAAGTTCAGAGGGTGATTTTGTCCATATGGTTTAGCACGGAGCCACTGGATTTCATGCTATTTACAACAATACCAGCCAAATGGGGGCTGGGTTGGGAGGGTAGCTCTTAAAAGTTCAGAGGGTAATTTTGTCCGTTTGGTTTAGCACGGATTGATGGGTTACACGTTTGCGCTCTCCTCTCATCTCTCACTCTTCCTGTTTCTGTCCTTCTCAAACCCTAGCAGCCGCAACTCCATCTCTGGAATAGCATCGGCTCCTGCTTCCTAAAACCAAAACCACACAAACTGGCCTCCATTTCTGTAACTCGAGAGCTTCGGTGAGATGAAGGAGAGGAGTAGGGAGATGGACTCGAGTCCGCCAACGGCGGAAGAGATCTTCAGGGATTACAGTGCTCGGAGAACCGACGCCGTCCACTCTTTAAGTAACGGTACTTCGATCTCTCTCTCTTCTCCGTTTCTCTCTTAGTTTCCTTTTTTTTTTTTGTATGAATTTCTTTTTTGTGATTTTGGATTTACAAATGGATTTTGTGTTCAAATTTCCTTTTTGTGATTTTGTTTGTAGAGCGTTCATCATCGTTGAAGATGCCTCTTCTCGAGTCATCTGCTTCATTCCGTTTCTCTCATCCAAAAAATTAATCGCTGCTTCTCAAACTCTCTCTCTGTCTCGCACCGCCACACCAGGCACCGTAGCCGCTCAAAGGCTGGGTCTCCAAAGGTGGCGTTTTGTAAAACCCTCCCTACTCAAGGCAAGTAATTCCATGCCCAATTTGGAATTTAAATCTATTTATTTTTTTAAATTGATTTGGGGTTACTGAAATCAGCTATCGAAAGTCTACCACTGAGAAAACTCAAGATTCCAGTATTCAAGTTTTGGGTTCTCTTCAGACTTCACAATTGTGAACTGGGCAGCCAGTGCAACTGGTTACAGAGCTTCCTGTGAGTTGAAGTTTTAAAATTATGTTTAAATTTTTCTAGAGTTTTTATCATTTTCGTTATCTCTAGTCTCTACTGATGTTTTGCATCCAGTTTTGACTGAATGCCGTGTTACAAAATCAGATCTGGAGCTTGCCCTTATCCAGTTTGCCAATGACATAAGCTCTGAAGCTCATGTTGAGGTAATCTTTTATGAAAACGTTCGATTGCACAAATGTGTTTCGTATATACGTCATATGCGTCTTTAACAAATAAATTTCCATTTAACACTTACTTCTGCATAACTTTGTTGTAAGCATATCTGTGAGTACATGCCCGTGACGTACTTCTAATAGCAAGAAGCAGCTTAGGAATGGAACAGTTATTTCACTTCTGCATGAACTTTGTACACTTTGAAATCTTTATTTTGGGCTCATTCTTATAACATCTTTAGAAATATTTCAAAACTTGACTCCCTTTTTGTTAGTCATGATTGCTATTTTCTTTTTAACCAGGTCATGAGAAAAGTTAGGGTAAGCATGTACGAGTATCAGCTGGAAAGCATGTTTGTTCACCACGTGAGGCGAATAATTGTTCAGTTGTACATGGATTTGCTTTTGTTGGACTGTGCTGCTTTAAAGTTCTGGATTGGTGCTATCAGTGAAGATGCCCCCCTGTGCTGCGTTGGGGACTTTCTTGATTCAAGTATTATTCACTTGGTTTTCTTATTTTCTTACAAGTTCTCATTTGAAAAAAAAAAAAAAAAAAAATGCTTCATTCATATGCATTCTATGTTGCTACTGAGGTTTACAATTTTTTTACTTTTTGCTTTTTATTTTTCCTCCTCAGGTAATATTTTCCTTTTACTGCATATTGTATCTTCTGTTTGGGAATGCCTCTGTTTTTTTCACTTGCTGAGAATGCCTCTGTCAAAATTTTAAGGGCCTTTCTTTGTTTCATCCAATCATTTTCTTCATTTTCTATGTCCAACTATGAAGCTTTTTTTTTTTTTTTTTTTTTTTTTATTGATATAAAGACCTTTTCTTTCTCCAATTATGCCTCTGTCAACTCTTTTTAATTTAAATGCACTCATTTAGCACTCACATTTATCTGATAGAGTAGATGAAAAAGAGGGAAACATGGATTATATATGCACCTTTACTTTGTTTTCTTATACGTCCTACTGTTACGAGATTAAATTTAACAGACATCCATACCAACGGCATCGGTTTTCAAAATTTGTAGAAACCAGCTGTGATCTGTTGCAGGAAAGATTCAGAAAAGAAAACACCTCTAAATACCGAAGATTATGGCTTAACTTTAGCATACTTGAAACCGGTATGCTATGCCATCAGCTGCTTCTAATTTTGTAAACAGTTAATACTATCTTAAAATTGAAATGCCAATGATTCGAAGCTCATGACTGAATTATTATACTTCTGTAAGATTTATTGAATACTTTTTTTCAAACTGTCTCTCGCAGCGGAATCACCGCCACCGGCAGCTATGGTTGCGCAGTTCGTCATCGTCCAGTATTCCTCCGAAATTCAACTCTCTCTCTTTTTTCTCTCCGACTCAGTGCGTCTCTATTCTTCCAGGTACACCCATATCTATATCCCAAACGACTCTTTATATGTATCTATTTGTTAGAGAGGCTTTTGCCTTTTGGGTTCAATTTTATCTGCTGTCTGCATTGGATTTGATGTCTTCTCAGTCCTTATTTTTTTATCCAGCAATGGAGCTTGCATAATCACTTGAGAAATTGGCAAATGAAAGCTGCTTCACTTGCAGTGTAAAACATTCATTGTTATTGTATGATGTCTTCTTAATATAAGATGATTAGGTGTAGGTGATTATATTTTGTACCAGTAACGTGGGTTGGTTGGTGTTGTGAATTAACAATTATGTGATTGTGAGACAATTGTACGAAGATAAAGTATTGGATTGGTGTTTGGTGTGGGTGCAAGTTGTGCCGGATTAGTGCTTTGGAGCATCATTTTTGAAAAAACATATGGTCAAGTCAGAGAAAAATGTTAGGTATGTGCTTATAAACTGTAAGGATGCTTGGGCTGGTATATAAATTTCCACATATTGTATTGGTAGCCACAAACATTTGTGTTTTATCCGACAATGCGATGCCATTTTTATCCCAACATGCTCTGGAAGTGATCTCTGTTTCTGTTATCATATGTGTGTAGTTTCCTATTTTTTTTCTTCTTTTGGCTGGAAAGTAATGAAGATAAAATTTGAAAGACACGGTTGTGGGAATCCTTGAGATAAAAGTAGATGATCTAAGTATTACTGCATATATTTCAAGGAATTATGTTGGATGCAAAGAACAATGTTACAGTTTCACTATCATATATCCAAATATTGTAAGTTTGGGACTTAACCTAAGGTGTAGTTAGCAAGATCATGTCGAGCCAACCCAATATAATACAATACCGACCTCTCTCTCTCTACCTGAACATGTCGAGTCAAGAAGGTTCGATAAGTTCATATTTGGCAGCGGCTAATGGCGTCCGCATTCTCACCGTCCCTCCACCCTTATATGGGAATTAGAGGTTCCAAAAGCTAAGCAAGGAAGCCAACAACACCAATAAGCAAATTTGACGTACCCAAAACAAGAAAAATGTTTTGGTATGGTAAGCAAAATAAACGCTTACAATGTAATACTAAGGGGGTAGGGGAGTTCAAACACCTCATAACCAAATTTCAGTTTTGCTCAAATTTCATTGGCCTATTCTGGAGGAAATATTCGGGTTGAGCAGCCCATAAAAGTTTGACACGTGTTGGCTGTTAGTCCAACAACTTTTTTTGTTTTTAGCACAGGACAAGTAAGGGTAATGACAGTCAATACTCAAAATAATAACCATATGAAGTGCTCCGTTGCATCCTTTTGTTTAGTTTGTTGACTAAATGTAAGGTTTTAATAGAGGAGTGGCCTAAACCTTACAATGGGCTAGTAATAATGTGATTCGACAAATTCTCTCGTCAATGAATATGATAGATTTGATACGTTTTTAAAACCTTACATTTAGTCAACAAACTAAACAAAAGGATGCAACGGAGCACTTCATATGGTTATTATTTTGAGTATTGACTGTCATTACCCTTACTTGTCCTGTGCTAAAAACAAAAAAAGTTGTTGGACTAACAGCCAACACGTGTCAAACTTTTATGGGCTGCTCAACCCGAATATTTCCTTCAGACTTGATCGTGGGCGGAGCATAGAGAGAATTTCAGAAATTTTGAATTTACGATATTCTTTTTTTTTGGTCCTTATTCTGATCAAGGTAAAATAACTGCCATAAGACAAATCCAGCAATGCACGTTTGATTTCCTTAAGCTACCTGAATAGAGATCTAATTTCTCATAAAAAATATTATTCTTATAAAAATAAACATCTTTCTCTCAGTAAAGGTCACATCTTTCTCTCTTTTTCTCAGTAAAGGTCACAACTTTCCCCGGCTGACTCTCACCTCACTCCCTCTCTCACTCTCACCTCACTCCCTCTCTCGCCCAATGTTTCGCTCCGGCGGTAGCGTGTCTCATATTTTAAAAAAACTCAGGGATACTGTAAGAGGCGGAGGCGGAGGCGGTGCCCGACCGAATGTTAAGGTAGAGCTTAACATTTCGGTGCCCCACCCGAAAAATGTCGTTCGAGTCACCGCCCACCCCGACAACCAGGAGATGGCGATGAGACTCGCGGCTGCTGCTCACCCTGTGAGGGCAGACTTCTTTGACCGGCTAGCCCAGTTCAATTTGGTGGTCGCAACCGGGGAGTTTGCCATGAAAGTCTACCGAGTATTTGTGAAACCTAAACGTAGTGGCCCGAACGAACCAGTGAAAGGCGTTGTGTGCTCCTTCAAGATGGATGGGCGTTTGGATGACCTGCTCACGGAATCCAAACTACACTCGGTCAAGATGAACTACATCACAGAAAGGATCGACCATGTTGCAAAGCAGTTCGGGTTTCCTCCTCCTCCCCGTCCTCCAGCACCATCAAAGGAGGGAGCAAACGGTGGCTGAGCGAAACCAAATGGTGGTGGAGCGAAGCCAACCGGAGCAAACGGTGACGGAGGGGATCAGCCGGAACTGGTTGATTTTTTTGAAGACTTTTGAGGAGGAAAAAGTTGGTAGTTTCTGTTGGAGGATTTTTACTTGGTAATTGATATTTGGGAAATTTTTACAAATGCTGACAGTAGTCACTTGCTCTTTTTTGTTTTTGTTTTTTTGGTGAACAGAGCATTGTTCTTTGATATCCAGTGAAATCAAAATTTACACAAAAAAAATATAAACAATAACTATTGCTCTGCTCTGCTCTCTCTTCCTTCCCACTCCCTCTCTATCCTCTGTGCGAATTGAGAATTGGATTCTGCACTCGCAGACCTCCGCAAGGCTGTGGGTTTTTAGTTACACCCCGCCTCGGCCTCGCCTGAGAACACCACAAAGGTGGCGGCGCCGTTTAGCTAACTACGGAGATCACACGCACCCAGCAAAGCTGGGGTGCCCCGAATCAAACCCAGACTCTTTTTGGGCCTTGTCCTGGGTTAGCCCACTTGGGCTTCAACCCTTTTGGGCCTATTTCCCTCACGAACCGATGCCAGCCTAAAGCTGGGCTGCCTTCCCTCACACCCACTTGGGCTTGCTTCTGATTGGGCTTGTTTTCCTATGCTGCAAGCCTGCAGCTTGTATGCATATATGGGCTACCTAATGCAGCCTACCCGAGGCCATAACCTGCAGCCCTAGCTGCACGGCTCACTATAAACAGTAGTGAAAGTGAATTGAAGGCCCTAAAAAGTACCCGAGCCCATCATGTTTTGAGATTTCAGGGACCTTGTGCGAAAATGAATTAGAAGTCCTAAAAAGTACTAAGAATTTAAATTTTTTTTATTTTTTTGTTCAAAAAAATAACTTTAGTTTTTCAATTGAGTTCTATAAATTCTAATAGCACAAATAATTTTAACAAATCAACAAGTGGAAAAGTGACGTATTGTTTTTCTTTAACTATTTAGAGGGTCAGGGTTCGAATTTTCATCTTATAGAGTGGAATTTTTATATTATTTTGTGGAAGCTCATGCATTTAATAAAAATAAACTAAAAAAATGATGGAGACGAGTTTCAAACCCATCACCTAACCCGGTGCAAAGAAGCAATAATACCACTTGCGTTAGGACTCAAGTTTGAAATGTTCTACGCATAATACTATACATACGTATATGCATGCAAAATTGAAAAATCGGGGGCCCTTCCGATTTGGGGGCATGTGCGGTGGCACCACTTGCACCCCTAGGGCCGGTTCTGCTGGTAACCCTATTAAATTAGCCAACGTAAATGGAATGACCGGTTGAAGCAACAATGAGGAAATGAGAGATGTAGAATTCCATTGTTGGTTATAGTCTTGATGATTGGCTGACGTACTCCTGAACCAACGCACTCAACAGTGACGGTCTTTCAAGTAAGCGGGATGGTAATTCTGCCTCCTAAAGGTTCTCCCACTTCTTATTCGACCAACAACGCCAATCTTCTCCGAAAATGTTTAGACTAATGCCCTTGAGATCTGACCTGCTCACCACACAGTTTAAAATATCATCAAAAGGAACCGAGCCCTTTTAGCTTGAGACAAAGTAATGGTGACAACGACCAACTAATGAATCAACCTGCTAATGATTGCGCCCGTACAAAAAGGTTACCTGCCATCGAAGAGAAAGAAAGAGAGAGAGAGAGGGGGGGGGGAGAGGTATTTGATCCAACGGCTATAATTATTATAACTTTTAGAGGAGTCCTCTGTTTATAGCCGTTAAGTCAAATTTCAATGGCCCCGAGCATTGATTAGTGGGCTTAGTTCCTTTTGATCCGGTTCCTTTTCATTGAAAACATAATCCAGAGTTCATTATGTAAGGCCACATCCATAGGATTACACGATAAATTCCTATTGGGATAAATTCCTTACTTTTACAACTCTAATAAGATAATATATAGTCTAAGAGATATCCGAAATATGATAGATTTTACATTTTATTTGATCATATTTCTAATCTAATAGGACTACAATAGCCTCAACTCTATTTTTCTAAAAATTATATTTTAGAGGGCTTGAAAATTGCAGGGACCTATATTTGCGCAATTGGAGATGACGCAAGTCTTACTTAGTGCTTGGGCCGGCCTTGCTACTAGGCCTTTTTTTTTCGGCCTTGATCCAGCTCAATGAAAAGTAATACCGTTCCCTTATTTTCCCGCTAAAACCATAACTCTATTCGCCATTTGCCGCCAAATCTGAGCTCTCTTTCATTTCAGCCTTTGTGTGTGTGTGACCGACTGCCCCTTTCTCTATCGTTTGTCCTCTCTCTCCAATCGCCGGCAACCATGAAGGACGTCGACTTCAGCGCTGAAAAAGGTCAAATTTTTTCTGCCGATCTCTCTCTCCCCTTCTTGGTCAATACTTGATTTCGTTTTTCATTTCGATTTTTGTTTTTGACAGAGCTCGCGAAGGATTTCCTTTCCAACTTTCCCGATTCGAATGGTGAACCGAAATACATGCGCATCCTTGTGAGTCCTCATCTCCTTCTTTACCACATTTTCCAATAAGCAATGGTAGTATGGTCTGAAAACCCTAATTTCCCGTTGAATTGAATGCCAGATTAATTTTTTCGAATATTTTAATTATACAGCTGCAGTATCTAAATGTTTCTTTTCTTTCCAGCAAGAAGTTGCAAACCAAAAATTTCGAGCCATCGAGATTGATATTGAGGACTTATTTAGTGTAAGTTCCGCCTTTGCCTTTTGGGCTTCTGTTGCAAAAGGCCTAAATTGTTATTATTGTTTTTGTGAATGAGTTGTTGATTTTCTTATACGAACATCAATTGCTAATTCGTGTTATGCCGTACACAGAATTGGATGAAGAATTCCGCAATCGAGTTCAAGAAAACACTCGGCGTTATATTGGTGTATTTGCTGATGGCATCGATGAGCTCATGCCGGAGCCCACAAAGGCATTTACAGATGATGATCATGACATAATGATGACTCAAAGGTCTGAAGACGGACCAGAGAATATGGATGGTCCGGATCCACATCAGAAGATGCCTCCTGAAATCAAGCACTACTTGTGAGGTCAACGCAAAAATCCTAATTCCTGTTGTGTTTGTTCGAATGAAATTTCAGTCTAAATGTGTGCTTTCACTGAATTGTGTGGTCGGTAACGGATCATATGCATTTAAATCTTAGTTTGACTAGTATCTCATGCCAGAAGTCACAGCACATAATCAGCCATTCGATATGTATGGTAACACTGATACACTTCCTGTTTCGGTTTAAACTGTGTGTTTGGTAGTTCATTATTCATGACTAGCTAGTAAATGAATGTCGATTTTCTCAAGGGTATTAGCTAGCTTGATTTGTAGTATATGTTTTGAAAATACGATGACATTTCTTACAATGTAAGTTCAACAGAGGTTTCTCTCAGATTGAAATTGGAAACTTGCTTTTACATAGATTCCATGTCACTGGTTTTAATAAGTTTCATATGCTTCAACTTCCATTGTTGCGAAGCTTTCTATGCAGGTTTGTGTGCATTTTTAATTGACTAGTATTTTTTTCATATGTATTCTCGTGAAGTTTACATAAGAGCATCTTCAAGTGGGAAGTCGAAGCCATATGCAATTAGGGAGGTCAAGGCTTCACATATTGGCCAGCTTGTAAGGATTTCAGGTATTGTGACGCGGTGTTCAGATGTTAAGCCATTGATGAAGGTTGCTGTCTATACATGTGAAGAATGTGGTTTTGAGATTTACCAGGTAGTTACACATAATCCTATTGTTCAGCCATTTGATTGCCAAGAAGCCATAATACAGTTTGAGTATTCAGCCTGTTATGAAACATTTTATTGCCAGCTACAAACCCATATATACTCATTTAAAACCTTCTTGTTTATCTCCCTCTTTGGAGTATAATTGATTCAATGACACTGGGTCTATACTTGTGCCTAATTTCTTTAAAGCCTCTTTTTCAGGAAGTAACTGCTCGAGTCTTTATGCCACTTTTTGAGTGCCCATCCAGGTGCTGTATAACAAATAGAACAGAGGGGAACCTTATACTTCAACTCAGGGCATCAAAGTTCTTGAAGTTTCAGGAGGTACTTTATGCTGATTTAGTCATAATTATTTAATAACGTGAGGACTGTATTATAATATGGTTGTGCATTTATTTTTTCAAGAGTAGTGTTTATCATCATTCCATGATATATTGAGATGTTGTTCAATTTCAGGCAAAGATACAAGAGTTGGCTGAAGATGTTCCAAAAGGCCATGTTCCACGGACAATGACTGTTCACTTCAGGGGTGAACTCACGAGAAAGGTAGCATGCTTCTATGTTAATTCTCATAGAGTATTTTAAGCGTAAACTTACAGTTTTGAATTAAGCCTTTGCAATGGGGCAGGCAGGGGTTTCCGTTTCACATGATTGCAGGAAGTGATGACATCCTGCTTCTACTTAACTGATTTTAACTTTTTTTCTTTTGAATTTTCATGTGCCTCTTTCTCAACACCATTAGGTAGCTCCGGGTGATGTTGTGAAACTATCTGGGATTTTTCTTCCTATTCCTTACATTGGTTTCAGAGCAATGCGGGCATGCTTAGTTTCAGATACTTACTTAGAAGCCATGTCCATCACACATACTAAGAAAAAAAATATGAAGAGGAAGCCATTATTACATTTTCAGTTCAATTTGGTCATCTGTTTATACATTTCTTTTATCAGTTCTCGGTCAACAAAACCATCTATGCTTGTGTATTGGACTAAATTACTTTCATACCAATCTTTCACTATATATTGTTCCCATCTTTTCAACTCTTAACATAGACTCTATCTGGTGCTTGTAGTGCAGGTTTTGCTAAACTTATTGTTCTTTTACCTGCTTTGATAAACCGCTTTAATTCTTACGTGATAATAGGTGCTGTGTACTAACTTGTGTTATGCCGTAGTTACAAACTTATAGGAGATGAGGAAGAACAGGTTGCACGTTTGGCTGAGGATGGTAACATATATGAAAAGCTGGCTCGATCTTTGGCACCTGAAATATTGGGCATGAAGATATAAAAAAGGCGCTGCTTCTGCTCCTAGTGGGTGCTCCTCACAGGAAACTAAAAGATGGAAAGAAGGTCAGTTCTCAACGTTACCAGATACCATGTAACTCAATCATACATGTTGTCAAACTGAATTTTGCTTACTACAACAACAACAACAACAAAGCCTTTTTCCCACTAAGTGGGGTGAATTTTGCTTACCATTTTGAGAATTTTGATTCACAAGATTATAGATATCATTTGGATGCATCCTCTGTAGTGAAGTGGAAGATCAGCAGTTCTCTTTTCCTCCTCTCTCTTGACCTTGCTTCCTGATCTGGCTCCTCTTGTCTTGGTCACTGATTAATGGTTATGTAAGATGAGCTTCAGTTTGCAATTTGTCTCCTTCCATTTTAAGATGGGATTCCCAAGCCAAATGTTCAATTTTTAGGAAAATTTGGGAGCTCATATCATGTCTGTGATACTGATACAGTAGACTGGTCATAGCATGTTTTTATCATTTGCATGGTAGGACTACAAAAGCTCATAATATATTCTCCTTCCAAATGCAGATTAGAGGAGATTTACATATTTGTCTGATGGGTGATCCTGGAGTTGCAAAGAGCCAGCTTCCCAAACACATAATTAATGTAGCACCAAGGGGAGTTTATACAACTGGCAAAGGAAGCAGTGGAGTTGGTCTAACTGCTGCTGTTCAGAAAGATCCCGTCGCAAATGAAATGGTCCTGGAAGGAGGAGCATTGGTGAGACACATATGCTCCATTCAGTTATATATATATTATTTTTTTCATCTATGTTTATTTTCACATGTTATACGAGTGGAAGAGCGTATAAAACAGTAACTACGTGTCGAATATATGGATAATACTTAAGATTTCTTAATGTTAGACTTTTATTGCGTTATACCAAATGTGTGCCCCGCCCGCTTGGCCCATGAAACAAAGTTTACCATCTTTAAAATCCGAGGCCACACCTTTTCCCTTTTCAGTTTAGGGTTCGTGTTCAAGATCCGGGCAAAACTCCAAAGCCGAAGCCTCGCTGTTTCTCTCTCTTGCGGTATGAAAATTCGAAATTCAACCTCTTATGTTGTTTGTTTTAATTTTTCTGAGTTTTATTTTGCTAAATTTTTGCTTTCTGCATGGTTTTTCTGTTTGTTTTGGATCTCAATATTTGATTGCTCAAATGTTGGATAGGAATTTAACATGTAATTCACAAATAGACAGAGGCAGGGGATTTAAACATATATGCCTGTGCATTTCTGTGCTTGAATAGAGTTGCAGCTAGGTTACATTACATATTCCCAGAACCCTAATTTGGATTTTTTTTACTGTTTGTGTTTATGCTTAATCATGTTTTATAACAAGTTTATTATTGGGTCTTATCTCGTAGAAACTAAAATTTAATCTGTAAACTTTTAGTTGGGACGGCTTGTGGACTTCTCGAACCAGAATTATGGCTCGTTTTAGTTCTTCTAGTTCCCGTTCGAGTTCGAGTTCGAGTTCGAGTTCGAGTTCGAGTTCACGTTACTATGGTGAGTAATTATGCTGGGAATTCGATTGTTTAAATAATATGTCAATCTGTTGAGATGATTTCTTTAATGTAATATGAAACAATCTTTCAGTCTTTTTTTTATATCATTTATGCTTTTTAATTTGCAGGAGCCAAGGGCACATACAACGCTTCATCTGGCAAAAGGAGTAAGTATAAACAGCGCCCCTCGTAATTTAGTTTTGTACGCTGCTTGTGCTTGTTGTTAGGGCTTCAATGCCTAGAATAATTATGCCATTAATTTTCTCGCTATCTAATACGTAATTATTGTAACTAGCTAATAATATCTATAATATATCTATGAGTTAGGTCCTAGTGCCTGCGACGAGGTTGCGGTGAGATATCCAAACGGCGTTAGAACGGTTATTCATCATTCAAATTTTAGAGCAAATGCAATTGCTCGTAACAATTCTACTGAGCTCTGCATGACGATAGTTGAGCTGGCTGTTGAGGTACTTTTAGTTGCTATCTTGTTATGCTTCTGGGTTGGTCTTGTCAATCCTTGGAATGGAAAACAAATGCTAGATCATCTACCTCTACATAAATTTTGACGAGTCTTGAATATATAAGAGTAGGCATAGTATGAATGATTTTATGTGGCCTGACATAATGAAGTGTGGATTGTGTTGTGAATGAAAATACGTCTCCCTCTTTTTAATGGTAGGCGGGTCTATTTGGCGGGCCTAATGCGGAGTTTGGCGTTTACCAACGTGCCCTATTGAACGTTTGTGGTATTGAGGTGGAGGTTGTTTCGTCGAAGAATGATTCGTCCAAGAATGATTAGAGGTGGGCTTAAGATTGAATAAAGATGAAGAATAAATATGTATGGTTTTGGACCTTGGTGCTCACTAACTTTGTTTATCAAAGTGGTAAATCCACATGCAAAAGATTTACTAGAGGACCAATTTGCTTTGGTATTAAGCTAATGTTGGGAGCTATCTATGAACTTTACTCATATGATCTGATATCATAGTTATTCCTCATTGTCTCCTATAATTTTTTGAAACAAGTAAAATTACACAACAATGAGTATCGTAGCCGCCTCTGCTCTACTCTTTCCCTGCCTTTATGAATCAAGAAATGCGACACATGCTATTCGACTGTGCACTTGCAATCCTATTAAAATACACAACTTCAGGAACAAAACATATAATGACCTGAAAATTAAACAACAGACAACAATTCTGAAGAACAAGAAAGGGCGGAAAGCCCAGCCCAAACACTAAGAATGTAAGAAAACGGAAGCTGGAAAATTCCCCAATGACGATTCGAATGTTACAGAGGCTATTCATCCGACAACGCATTATAGTCACGTACACACCTGTTCATTTTAAACATAGAAATGCATTGATACCTGGGCTCCGGTTGTGTTGATCCAAAGAGGATCTGTGTTCCAAAAATACAAGCTTTAGTCATTTAACTTTAATCCAAACCGTCCATTTACATGGGCTTCAGCTCCATTAACTAGAGAAGGCGGTAAAATTGAAAGTAAGGAAACGGGTGGGGCAACGGCCCAGATCCAGTGCAAGCTCAACGATCCCAAAAAAGAACTTACTTGGCCCGCGGTGCTAGGTGAGAAACACCGGCTCCCACGTGGACAAGTCGTAGGCCGCCAGCGCACCATAGCGGTTGCCTTTGACGACGTCAGCAATGGCGACGAGGAGGAGATTCCTGGGGCTAACCATGGCGAGTCCCGGCGAAGAATTTCCGGCCAAGTCAACGTGTTTGACCACGGGGACTTCCACCAGAACCGTAGCGGTATCGTCGTTGGGCACCGACATTTGGCCAATGCCGCCGTCTATGAAGGAGACGAGGAAACGACGGTTGAGATCGTCCCACTTGGCGTATCCAGTAGGTTCAGCCAGCCAGCTGGATTTTTCTTAAATTGCTATTTGTTCGATGCTTTTCTTCTGACGGGTGCGGTAGATATTTGTCATGGCGGTTTCTAACATTTCATGTGTACATAATTTGGTTAGAGTTTTATTACTTTTGGGATTAAAGAAAGCCGTGAAGATGCATCTACACATGCAAAACAAACACAAATTACAAATTAGGAGTGAAAAAAGATATAATTGGTGACAAACATAATATGGATTCTTACCTTTGAATTAATCACTAAAATATTAGAGTTTCCCTACTCTCATCCACAAATTATCTTCTACTGATTTTAAGAACAGTGAATGAATAACAATTAATTAAACTATTAATGTCATAAAATAACCAATTGCAGTTGAAATTATTAGTGAAGTTTTGGGTTGAGGGGGAACTGTGGAAGTTACCGTAAAGAGAAGAACTTATTTGGAGGTGAAAGTGGGAAAGTTATTATTCGTTTTGGACTTTTATTTCTTTTATTTATTTTTAATTGTTTAATGGATTATCCACAATTACTATTTTGATTATTTGATATGGATATCCACAATTACTAAACCTTGTGCATAAACTCAGGTTATGAAAGTAGGGTTAGAGTTGTCTTTCTTTATAGTGATTTTTGCTTTTTCTTTTTAATTTGTAGGAGCCACGGTCATGTACTCTACTCTGCTTCATCTGGCAAAAGGAGTAAAAGTACATCTTTTGGCAGCGGCCTCTCTCGTTCTCTCTACCTGAAAAAATCGAGTCGAGAAGGTTCGATAAGTTCATCTTTGACAGCGGCTAATGGCGCTAGCATCCTCACCCTCCACCCTTATATGGGAATTTGAGGTTCCAAAAGCTAAGAGAGGAAGGCAACAACAACAATTAGCAAATTTGACCTGCCCAAAACAAGAAAAATGTTTTCATGTAGTACACAGAATAAATGCTTATTATATTTGAGTATAAAATTTCGTAACATAGTCCTATATTTATTGGCCTAAACCACAAAGTCATAATGAAATTTTAGTTTCGCTCAACCTACGCTCACTTATATGTGACAAATTCTCTTCTTAACGAATACGATAAAAAAAAGGAAACATTTTTAAAATTTTACATTTAGGCGACAAACTAAACAAACGGAGGCAACGGAGCACAAGATGAAAGAAAAGAGTTTATTTCCCTAAAAAATATATCAAACGATACATGAGATTCAAATGCTATGGTGTACCTAACAAGTAACAACCTTATTTTATTGTTGAATGGAAACATAGGATCATAAGGCAAGTGACATTTTACTACAATAGTAGAAAAGAGTTGAACCCTGTCGGTGATTAATCTAATATCTGATGTAACAAAATGTATCATATGACAAAAAAACATAAGATCATAAGAAGCCAAAAAAAAAAAAGTTAAAATCATTATTTAATAATTTCAAGCTAAAATTTTAAGCCATAACCATTAGAGGAGTTAGCAGTTTCTGACTTAAATTTTTAAACTTTATCCCAAAGATTAATAAAGATCCACAACTATGTATTATTCAGATAAATAATAATACATATTTGATTGTATGCAAATTGATTGTAATCGGAGAAACTCTCTCTAATGAATGCTCTTTTTTCATAAAAAACAAAAGGTGAAATTGGGACCTTTTGAAGGTTTAAAGCAAGTGGTCGGCACTTTGTGGTGGGGACATTTGGAGCCAACCCAATACAATACAATACCAACCTCTCTTTCTCTCTACCTGAACATGTCGAGTCAAGAAGGTTCGATAAGTTCATCTTTGGCAGCGGCTAATGGCGTCCACATCCTCACCGTCCCTCCACCCTTATATGGGAATTAGAGGTTCCAAAAGCTAAGCAAGGAAGCCAACAACACCAATAAGCAAATTTGACGTACCCAAAACAAGAAAAATGTTTTGGTATGGTAAGCAGAATAAACGCTTACAATGTAATACTAAGGGGGGTAGGGGAGTTCAAACACCTCATAACCAAATTTCATTTTCGCTCAAATTTCATTGGCTTATTCCACAAGGCACGGAGTCCAAACACCTCGTAACCAAACTTTAGTTTTGCACAATGTGCGTTAAGATATAAATGACAAATCTTTTTTTATTTTTATTTTTTGAATAAACGATATTATTTACACTAAAGGTGTAAAGGAATGGCCTAAGCCTCACAATGGGTTAGCAATAATGTGATTCGACGAATTCTCTTCTCAACGAATATGATAAATTTGATACGTTTTTAAAACCTTACTTTTAGTCAACAAACTAAACAAACGGATGCAACGGAGCTCAAAATGGAGGACAAGAGTTTATTATATTAAGTGATATATGAGAAAAAACTAAACAAACGGATACAAGAGCACGAGATGCAGGAAAATAGTTTATTTCCCTAATAAATATATTAAGCGATACTTGAGATTCAAAGGCTATGGGGTACCTAACAAGTGACAAAAAATATTTGTTTTATTTGTCTGTCTTTTAATTTTGGTAAGACAAAGGAAACAAATAGGCCAGGGAAAGCCACTAAGAAAGCCCAATTTTATGGTGGTGCTCGCCTTTCCGGCGGGATTGGTGTGGTGTGACCTCTGCGTATGCAGAGAGAGAGAGAGAGACAGACAGAGATGAGAAAGAGCTGAGATAAAGAGAGTGTAAACTGTAAAGATAGAGAGAGAGAGAGAGAGAGAGAGAGAGAGAGAGAGAGAGAGACGGAAGAGAGGGAAATATGGGGTGTGGGCCCCACTGGCTAACGAAACTACACACTTTGGCACCTGAAATATATGGGCATGAAGATATAAAAAAGGCGCTGCTTCTGCTCCTAGTGGGTGCTCCTCACAGGAAACTAAAAGATGGAATGAAGGTAAGTTCTCAATGTTACCAGATACCATGTAACTCAATCATACATGTTGTCAAACTGAATTTTGCTTATCATTTTAATAATTTTGTATTCACAAGATTATGGATGTCATGTGGGTGCATCCTCTGTAGTGAAGTGGAAGATCAGCAGTCCTCTCTTCTTCCTTCTCTTTCTTGACCTTGCTTCCTGATTAATGGTTATGTAAATTGAGTTTCAGTTTTCAATTTGTCTCCTTCCATTTTAAGATGGGATTCCCAATCCAAAATTTCTATTTTTAGGAAAATTTTCGAGCTCGTATCATGTCTGTGATACAGTAGACTGGTCATAGCATGTTTTATCATTTGCATGGTAGGACTACAAAATGTCACAATATATTCTCCTTCAAAATGCAGATTAGAGGAGATTTACATATTTGTCTGATGGGTGATCCTGGAGTTGCAAAGAGCCAGCTTCTCAAACACATAATTATGGAGCAGCAGACTGTTAGCATTGCTAAGGCTGGGATCACTACGTCTTTGAATGCAAGAACTGCTCTTCTTGCTGCAGCAAATCCAGCATGGTACAAATCTTTCTACTTTTTAATCTGGTTCATTTAGGGCATTACTCTTTGTTGCTACCCTTCTATATTGCTCTAATTATGTGGCACTTTTTCTACTGCTGGCGGCTAACCTTCTTTGTGAAAAATCTACTCTTACTGTGGTTGTTTTGTATATATTCTTGAAGGGGGAGATATGACGTACGTAGAACTCCTGCTGAAAACATTAGTCTTCCACCAGCCCTTTTGTCAAGATTTGATCTTTTATGGTTAATCCTGGATCGAGCAGATATGGATAGTGATCTTGAGAATCTCCGGCTCTTGGCTTCACTCCACTTGAGCCATCTGTTATTCGGTAAATTTTGCATCTTTTACCATGGAAAGCTCAGCAGTACTGATTTCAGGATATTCTCTTTTGTTTTAGTCTTTCTATTGATCACTTCTACAAACAAACGAATATAAGTTCTCTGTATAGAACTTGTAATTTGTAAAACTACCTAAATCTTTATTTTCAAGTCTGCTGATTGTGGGCTTTTCTGATAAGATTCTTTTATTAATTTTTTTTCAGGGCATATATTTCTGCGGTGAGGAGATTGTCTCCTTCAGAGAAATGACTGAATGTCATCTGATGCCAAAATAACTGCACTGCTTATCATGTCAAACAACCAGTACAAAACTTGGAAGTGATAGGAATATAACTATATAAATCAGAGTAGTAGAAATTCAAAATATATATCTCAAAAAATGAAAATTCTTGGTATTCCTGTACGAAATTCTATCTATTTCGTCTCAAGCCATGTGGAATGTTTGATTTGGAACAGGGATACAGTGAAGCCCAACCGAAACAATATTTGGAGGAGTACGCAAACATAAATGTGTGGCAGATTAATCCCCTTTCTTTTGACATCCGATTTATTGATGCCATTTGAAAGATGAGCGAGTGAGATGCCACTCAACTCGGCTCCCGTTAAAGGTCGCTGGAGCTTTTCTTAGGAGTGTGGCATGGGTTTCTTCATCAACCGTAGCAGTAGCGCCATCTGCTAAGATTTGTTCCTTTTTCTGTTACATTTACCGCTCGAACCAAAAGATTTATTTATTCTTTTATTCTACTTCGGGACTGTTTAGAGCTTAGCATGAGTAGATTATTCGACATGGCACGCGCCATAGTTGCAGAATTGTATTGGGAGTATGATTAGATTAATTAGCACTATTGACTACCTGGAATGGATGGAGCCGAATTTGTGCTACACGTTTGTAAATATGGATACTTTTTATTGACTAATTGGGTATTGCAAGGAAGACTCTCAAAAATAAAACTCTCCATCATAATTCTCATGCCAACATTGTAAAATAGTGTGCCAGAGACGTGAGTTACTATACTTCTTTCTCCTTCCTTATATGTAGAAAGAGCTCTTGAACGAATCCGAAAGAGATGGACAGAGAGTATGATTGGAGTCGATTTGTTGAAATCCTCCTTAAATTCTATTTGCGAGCTCATTTGAAGAGCCCAATAGAGATGCTCTAACGTTTGCCGTTCACGTGCCCATACATTAATAATGGTTATTAAATAGGATTGAAATTGAAGGATTGGGCAATGCTAAGAAGACAACATTTGTCATGCAGATGAAACTTTGAAACTATACCAAGGGTGACTGAAATATATAGTTAGAAATTGTTCCAAGTTTTCGATAACAAAATATTGCAAGTTCAAATTCCGATATCGGACTAGGTTTCAAGTTTGAATTTTTTATTATGTTCCTTAGTTGATGAAAAATTCACTTTAATTGAATTTTTTTTTTTGTCGAACTTCAGTTGAATTTAACTCGAATGTTTTCGGTGTATTTTTTCTTTTGATATGGAAAATGCTAACAACCTTCTCACTTATCTTATCATTTTCAACTTTCTCACTTTTATTCATGCAGTTATAACTAATTAAATGTTAGCGGAACACACGTGACATAAAAAAAAAATCGGAAGAATAAAATGAGAAGATGAGTGGAAACGATGGAGGCGTTCTCTCTCTTAGTTTTGAAATTTCATTTTGCCTTTGGAAAGGAGAAAAGGAAGAAAAAATAACGGGAATGTAAAAGATAAAAAAGTAAAAACCAAAATGGATGGTATACGTGGCACCTCCATATAAAGCGCCCCACTTACTAAAGTTGAACGCGCGCACACCGAATCGCTTTTAAGTATTTTCCCTTACGCAGAAAAATAAAAAAATAAAAACAACATTTAATTGATTTAATTAAATCAGCTTAGATTTCTCAGAATTAATAGGATTCGTCCTCCATGAAATGGCAGAGCAGAGCATCCCTGAATCCTCCGAGATGTTCACTGAAATCCAAACATCCTACAAAATAGACTAAACCCCGCACGAACAAGATTTAGAATCCTAATTTTAAAATCGGAAGCCGGTTGGTCGGACAATTGGACTTGGGACAGGAAGCTCTTCTCCTACCTCGGAAACCTAAAACCCAAGTTTCAGGTTTTGCCTGTGTCTGCAAGTCAGCAACTGCAATTTCTGATTCCCTTTAAGGTAATTAAGCTCTTCCTCGGATGTCATTAAGGTATCTGTGATTAAGCTCTAATGATTTTATTAGATAATCCTAGACACATGATTTTCAGGCGCTTGTTGCTCCAAACCAAAATGTTGTGAGATTGATGCACATGTGACTCAGGTTTTGACATTTATCCTGTTTGTGTCTCAGGTTTCCGGAAAATGAGGTGGGCAGCCTCTTCAGTTGAAGTCAACTCCTCTGCCTCTCTTTTACTTTGTTGAAGCAAATCCAGAGGTTTCTAATTCAATGCACTCGTTTATTTATATGTTTTTCTGTTTATCCGGTTCAACCTTGATGCCTAACGATCAATACGATGAATGATATACGCATTTGAACTCTTGAACACAAAATCTTGATGCAATATGCATTTCTCAATTTGTATTGTTGGTTTCCGTTTACGTACTATCTCGTCTAGTCCTTTTGAATTGCGTGTTTAAATGAACGATTCACATTTACCACTTGAAGATCGGAGAGCATGGGAATTGAATAGAGCACGATCTCCTGTTATGGAAGATGATGAAGTCATCCGTTATATGTTTGTTTGTTCGTGTAATTGGAACAGTTACAATGAAGCACCCACCTTTAGCTGTTTTTACGGAATTAATTTCACAAAAAGTTAAAAAAGAAAGAGAAACGAAGCTCTTGAAGTTAGAACTTCTTATAATTGGAAGAGTTATAGCGGAGCTTCCATCTTTAGTTAGTTAGTAGAGAACCATATAATTCAGAGAAAGTTGTACAGAAACAACTAATGGATTGTTGAATGTATTATTATATCTTAACAATTTGGTTTGGCAGTTCAAGCCTTTTCTTTGCTTGCACTTTTTGTCTCTATCCAGGTCTAAATGAAACTTTACAACAAAGAACGCAGTAAATATTTGCGGTTAACTTGTTTGAGCTCAACCAAGTTATAGCAGCAGGCTGGCTTGAACACAGTTGGGTTTGAGTCGTTTGACCCAATAGCCTTTTTACCAATTCAGGCTTAGATTGTGCAGTCATGTCATGGTATCTAACTCATCTAAGATTTTGCTTGAAATTTTAGAAAAGTAATGCCTTATATTCGTAGCTGCTTAGCAGTCAAATGAATAAAAGGGAAAACAAATGCACAAGACTCCTCTCATTCCAGGGCCTGGGAGGGTTATGTTTAGCATAAACGTTACCCCCTTTTGTAGAGAGGTTATTTCCCCTTCGAACCCTAGCTTTGGTTCATAATAGAGCAACCTTATCATTTATGCCAAACTTTTCTGTCTTGCTATAGGAAGAAAATAAAAGGGTTTCTGCTTCCCCATTAAGGATTAGCTTGGTTTGCAATAAGTTGAGTGAAGGGGACAAATATTGCACCCCACGCTTGCATTTCCTTTTTGAGGATTTCTTAGACTACGGGAGTAAATAACAACATTAAATTTTCTCTAGTTTCCAACAGCTTTTGGGCCTAGTGGCACATCCTCCCCTTGGGAACAACGGTGAAGGTCAGTTCAATAGCTGGTGGTCTACTTAGTCTAAGAAAACAAAAAGAAATTTCTCTAGGTGTTATATGGCTTTTGTAGGCTACTTATATATCATTCACCACTCATGAGGTTTTGTATGGTACAAAATGTACAACTTTGGTAATATGGAAATATTATGGAGTAAATTTGTAGCATTTATTCATAATAACTACCTTCTTTCAAAGAAAAAAAAGAAAAGAAAAAAGGCTACCTATGTTCAGATCTGGGTAATGGCTCTGTCTGGCACTTTATTTTCATACCCCTGGTAATAAATCTGTCCACAAGAGTGTATTTCAATATTCAGTCACATTGATAAGCGGGTTAATTAATCTTATAGATATATAGTGCTTCATTTCGTTCTACGCTGACTGGGTTCTACGCTTTTACTGTTCAAGAATTTTGCTGATATTTTAGGCAGATATCATTTTATCATATACCTAGGTTGGGAAAGTTTTTCTGGGTTGCTAGCCTTCTGTTCGTTTTTGTGGAATATATTTAGAATCTTTCAGATAGTCCGCAGATGCGTTCATCTTCATCAACTTTGTTTAATGGTTCTTTTTTAATGTTTCAGGTTGTACTCAAATAATGGATCCTCGGAAGTGTACTTTGTCTGGTGGTGCAACTTCTGTTGTTATGGCACCTTCAAGCATTTTAAATAAGTTGAATGAGAAGGCTCACTTTGAAAAAGAAGAGAGGGATACAGGTCATGCTATTGAGGCTGGAGTCGATATAGACATTAGAGAGGTTTATTTTTTGATTATGCACTTTCTGTCACTTGGGCCATGCCAGAGGACTGTCAAACAGTTTGGGAATGATCTTCTGGAACATCAGCTTCTACCTAGAAGGTATCATGCTTGGTTTTCAAGGAGCGGAATTGGAAGTGACAATAGTAATGAGGATGCTACATCCTTCCCATTGAGTTACAACAACTTGGTTGAGAGGTACATATTTTCCTTAAGTTGTCTAATACTCATAGGAAGAGCTCAATTGCAAGCTTAGATTTTGTTCTTGTTAGAATTGGTGTTCATGTTATGCATCCAGTGTCCTCTTATTACAGAAGATATATGCTTTAAGTTTTAACAGTAGTCAATGTTTGTGTCACACACATATCAAAACGCACACCCAAGCCTCAAACATGTTTAAAGCAGAACATGACATGCCGACATCCCTTGTTTGGTATTGGTACCCTAACCTTAAACTTTGGCCTTTAATCCATGTCCAGTCGAACAGACAATTGGCATGCTGATATGTAAAAGAGGAAATGTATTGGGGCGTGATAGAATATGAAATAGTTGCTCAAACTTTTGGCAATCGTGGTAAAGAAACTAGTTCTATGGTATCTGAGCAGAAGAACTGAGCATTAACCTGAATTCTACATGTTTGAAAAAATTTATCCGGGTGCACGGGTTTTCTTATTGCATTCCTTTGATTTCTTTCTATACTTTATAGGTTGGCCTAGTCATTTTATTTCCTATGCTGGGGTTTTACTGATTAGCTTTTGCATGATGTATAGGTATCCTCATATAGAGAGAGATCACTTGGTAAAGCTTCTAAAGAAACTGCTACTGAGTATAGCCACTCCATTGCATGGCAAGCTTGGAAGAAGTGCTCTGAATGCAGCTGATGTCCCTACATTACTGGGAACTGGTTCCTTCTCGCTTCTGGATAGTATGTGATTTTTTATGTTTCATATTTTAATATTTTATATATCTCTGATTCTCGATTGGTGTTTTTTCTGCATGTGTGTGTATATGTTGGAATATAAAACCATTTCTTTATTGAAATCTTCTGTATTACTAATAAATTACTTGAAAAGTGAGTAATGCATAATTATGACAGTATGATTGTTTAGAGGATGAAATCTCTGTTATACAAATCTTTGGCCATTTGGAAATTGTCTTTATTTACAGTGGTAAATATCCTTCCTCACGATATGTCCTTTTAAGACTCCTCTTAACCTACTGCATCTTTGAAAGTTCTGTCTCTCCTGCTCAAAGGAATGTATATCATACCTAATAATATGCTGCTTGGTTATCCTACGCATGTAACTGGGTAGGTTTGGCCGAAACACTTTTATGGGTCTTTTACCTTGAATTGTCACTTACGTAGGTAAATTGTTGGCTGCTTCGTGACTTTTTCTTTTTCGCTACCATGTATCTTTTCAGGTTCCAGACGTGATAGGTTTCTTCAAATGTTACTTATTTCTGCAATTTTCATTTCTTGTTTTCGCAGGTGATAGGAATAAGGAAAATAAGAGAGTTAAGCCCCTGC